CTTCAGAAGTTTGCGAGACGATGCTCGTTAAAGCTCCAACAAGCATCCACCCAGTTCGAGCAGCATGTGGAATTTCTGAGAGACTGGCGCAGTAAGGATGGTCTTTTCCTTCATCTGGGAGATCCGCAGGAATCAACAAGGATCAACACAACTCAGCCAACCCCACACCAGAGTCAGAGTCATTGGCGAGTTGAAGCAGCATGGCGGATCAAAGGTTCGACTACTCAAAAACAGCAGCGGAGAGCAGTTGGGAGCCAGGAGGCGCATTGCAGCTGGAGCGGAAGATTGAAGACTCAGCAAAGGCGAAGAGTTGCAGTGTTCATAAAGGCTTCGACGAGGACGTCGAAGGGATAAGTGGGGGAGAATGTCACGGACAAACTTTGAAACAGGATGTTTGATGTAATGCTTATATCTGTCCGTGTCTATTGGCATGTTCATGCCTTGTACAACGTGTAGAGGGGCAGCCGAAGGCTTATAAGTCCCATTTTAGTTGGGTGGTGGCCTCTTTAGGCTTGTAAATAAAGGTTGTGTCATGTGGACACGTGCGAGAGCTTTTCGGTCTGTAATGGATCATTTTACCCTTTGTTGTGCCACTGTTCAGAGCTTGTAAAGTCTGTTTGTAATTTGCATTGTCTATGAAGTGTTTTTCGGACATGTTTGCTTGTGGATCCCGATTGAGGCGTTTTCTCTAACCCGTTCTCTCTTTTGTTGGTCCTAAGGGACAATGGGAGGCTTCGGGGAGGCTGACCTTTGCGGACGGACGCGCGAGGGTGCCGCACGACTTAGGCAAAACCAGCTAAGTCCGTGTCAGGTCGGTCTTTCAGGCTCCTTCCCCTGAAAACTATATGTGTGGGTCTCCCCGCATGTGGCTCACGCCATTTGAGGTTATGTATGTCAAAAAATTCTTTTTCTGGACACATGGCTATCGCATGTCCACAGCGTTACAACTCAAGTTTTCTCCACATCAAACAGAAAACTACAGCATCTTTGAAAAACAGCCAGCTAACAATGCCTTGTAGTTTTTCATTTCAGCTGGGCCGGGCCATCTATTTTTCAGGATGTTGAAGATGAGCATCCAGCTTGTAATAAGGAAAGAAATTCATTGTGAATAAGAGACTGGTCAGAAATGGTCGAGGCCCCCACTCTAATATTCTGGATAAAGTTTTTTCTTCGGAGATTGAATATTGGATATTAACGCATGAAAATAGGAAATCAGTATAGGTCAGCTGAAGTGAAAGAAGTTGAGTGGAGTATCATACATGTGTGGTCCTATTATTGAGTATTGTTACTTTGTTAAATTAACTTATATCATATGTGCACACTTCTATAGCTTAGAAAATGAGTGTGGGTGCCTACATTATGAACTAGATTTGGGTATGTAGAGATGAGCTGAACCGGGAAAGCTAAGTGCTGCCCCTCAAATTCAATGCAAAATCTTCCCTTGATGAAAGAATTAGATTATGAATGAATCGACTGAGAGATTGCGGAACATAGAGCCTAAAAGAAAGCATGCATTCAATCATAGGGCTTGCTATAAACTGTCAAATACTCAAAATACCCTCACTACTATGAAATTAAGTATTAGCTACCGCTGGCAGTTTTTCAAAGATTCTGTGTTGATCAAGCCCATCAAACTATTGGATAGGCTTTAGCACTTCCAGATCTACACCTATGAGCCAATTGGAAGCTGGAATAAAGACCTCGACATATGGCATTCCTGGTGGTCCCATTGAAGCCTTCAGCTGTCTCTTTTTCTTTGATGCGATGCCCTTTTTGAAAAGTGACACTTTGCGTCTTCACATCCGAGGGTGAAGGTCATAGACGGTAACTAAATAGTTGGTAATTAGTAGTTATGGTGCCCATTGCGGGTGAAGGGAACTAAATGATTCTATTACGGTCCCGAGTGCTGGACAATGTTGACCGGTAGTGAATTGGATTTTTTGCCTCATATCCGATTAGGAAGAAGAAGTGGATTGGCTGTTCAGTTGTTAATCCATTTTCGAAGGAGATAGAGAGCTCTTGACTAGAGGAGATAGAGGAGGGGCTCAAACTTAGATTTTGAAGGTGGGAGGGAAAAGGAAGAAAGTGGTTGAGGGACGGTTCACGCTGTGGCATGACATGCACGTTCCAGGAAAGAAAATGAAATATCGAGGGGAGGAACGAGAGGCTAAGGAAAGTGAAGAGAAAGACTATGGAAGTATATGATCAGGAGGAAGTGAGAGAGGGATGGAGACATTGTCTTTATGGTCAAAATGGGACCTCATTTTGAAACCCTCTTGACGCTCTCCATTTCAAATATGGTCTACACATATTTCTAGATCTTGGTTTGGTTGGCTCTCTTTTCTTTAATAGAATAGCCTGTCCTCAATAAGAATTGTGTTAGCTATCCTTCCAGCAATCAGCATATCTGCTTCCCTGGCTTGGCACTCCATGAACCAGATCAGAATGATTCTGAATGAATCCATAAGAAGTGATCCCATTTTATTCATCAGGTTTGGGTGAAGACCAAATATCTTTAGCAACTGATCCAGCAGAACAACTTAAAAGAGAAATAAGTCTCGTAAGTGCCATGTGCCAGGATTCAGCTTTCTTGGTAGCTTTTTTCTTATTTTCCCATAGGACTTCAATTTTAACAGGTTGGATTGGGTGAAAAGTAAACCCTAAACCCAGAAGGGTTCTGTTATCTCCAACCTATCACAATCCAACTTGACCTCAGTTTGAGATTCTTTTTCTTCCCTAATCTGGTCCAACTTTGTGGTGGGCAGGGCTAAGCCCAAGTGAGATTGGGCTGATGACAAGTTGGACTAGGTTGGTTCTGGTTGGGATTGGTTGCTCAGGTTTCACACATATAGTATAAATCCAGATAGAAATTTTAGGTACATGTGGTGGTGCTAAATAAATTATGATATTATATCTAGTATGTAATGATATTCCCAGATAATATTTGGTCAGGTTAAGCTTAGGTTGGTTATGGGTCAACCTAACCTGGGTTCAGGTTTGGGTTCAGGTTTTTTCATTCTTAATCTAAATCATGTCAAATTAAACCATGCTAGCCCAATCCAGCTGAATGATTGAGTTGGATCTGGCAATTTAGGTTGAGTCGAAGCTGAGTGATGTTTCTGCTCTTGTCACAGTTACACAGACAGATCCTATGAACTGTAACTATCTATATACATTGTACAAGTTATGAGATGAAAGAAAAAAATGTGATGCAGATATTGTTAGCCTAGTACATTTGGGGTACAGGAATCAGTTGTCTATGTTTGACAATTTCCTTGTGTGTGGCAAATTTCTGCAGCTTTTGTGGATGTTTCTCCAGAAGAACTATTGCAAAGTGATCCTTCTTATCTAAAAGAGTCCATAAAGGCAAGTCCAGTGGAGACTCAGTCCGTGAAGGAAGTAAGCACTTGGCATGTTAGAAAGCAGCTGCTTTATTATTCAATGATGTTGTTGCTGAAATATCATCTTGTGTTACTTGAAGGTTCCATCAAATGGACCTGTTAAGCAGGACGGAAGTGCTCCAAATGGACAATCCCAATCTCGTAAGTTGTGGGAATTGATTTGCTATTAATACATGTTATGTGAAACAAAGGAGGCTTCTCTTTCTTATCACAAGGAAAACCATATTGCTTGTCATCATTCCTGGTTCATGAGTTTATGCATTATATAATGGAAATTTTGATGCAGTCTACTGTTCTAGTGCTCATGGTTTGTGAAACACTCTGACGTTCTAATATTGCATCATTTTGACACCTATGAATAGATTTAAAGTTCACTAAGTGATGTTGCATTTCATTCATTATTTTCTACGAGGACTGAACTGATACAAAGCATTTATGTGTATGTGTTTGTATGTGTTTCCATATATATGTATTTTATGTATTCATGCATGCATGTAAAGGGGCAGAACCAGCACTGCATTGGCATGGTACTGTGCTGATTACTGAATGGTATTCTCTTCCATAATTTGATTACTCTTATTTTTTGGTTTTATGTTTTTTCACATGCATTTGTTCTTAAGGCTGCATGATTCTAGCATCTCAGTACTTATGAAGCTTTTCAAGTTTGGTAACCTGATAATATTTGTGAACAGGATTTTTCTCACAGATTGTGCTTGTTTCATGTTAATTTATCATAGGCAAGTCACCATCTCCCTTGTCAGTTGAAGCATTAGAGAAAATGATGGAAGATCCAACTGTGCAGAAAATGGTTTACCCGTAAGCTTCATTTTGATTAATCAATTGAAACATTATCGTTCATTCTCTAAAGCTTTTGTGACAATTGGTTGATTGTTTCATTTTTAACACATAATTATCATTTGCTTTTATATTTGACATGAAGCTACAAGATCTTGTTAGTTGAAGGTTTAGTAATCTTCAGAATTGTTGACATGAATGGAAGTCAGAAGCATGTCATCTTAGATAACTTAAGAAATTTCTATGGATCAAGTAAAGATCATATGGGCCTTCACTTGTTTTATACTGTAACATGAATTTGTCGGCCAATTCTTTTGTTTATTGTTTTTAATTCTTCAAGTACATGACAGCAGTTGGATCTTGTTGCACTTTATGAGTAGCATTTTCTTTGATATACATTCTGAAACCATGGAAGGTTTTCTTTTATCTTCAAGTTTTATTTTTGTCTTCGTTTTTCTGCTTAACTGTCTTTCTTTTTCTATCATATTGATTACTATAAATCCTATCCCTTCATCACCAAGGAAACAGGTACTGACCTTGTTTTGGTACATTTATGTGGCAGCTATTTACCTGAAGAAATGAGGAACCCAGAGACTTTCAAGTGTATGTTTTCAAGGGATCTTGAGAAATTTACTCACTTCTTATTATGGTTTTGTAATAAACTACTGGCAGACATTAAAATATTGTATGTATATTTTCAGGGATGATGCAAAATCCACAATTTCGCCAGCAAATGCAAGATATGCTGTATGACCTAATTCCTTCTTTTGATTTGCAGCTTTTTAACCTTTTGGTTTACACATTTTATCTTTTGAATCATATTTATCAAATATGCAAACACATACATAAAATATGAGTTGTTATGAAGAATTGAAATTGAGAATAAATTTTTACTTTTGATTTGTGATTGACAAGGTGGTCTCTTACCAGATGTAGCTAGTATCAGAAACTTTGTGTATATATATTATGATATTTCTTTTAAATCAACTGGAGTCTATTAATGTTTGATATGTTTGCAAGTCCTTAATGTTGCTACTCTATCATTGTTAATGTGCTATAGTTTAGTTTTAGTTTTTGTTAGATTAGGTTTTCACTTTTATGTTAAGTTTAGCAAACTTATCCATTTTTTGGTCATTGTTTCGTTCCTCAATTGCCGCATGCTTTTTCAAAGAGAACTTTGTGGTGAAATTATTCATGAGCCACAAATACGGGACTTGCTTATCAATTACTTATGGATGATAAGTGGATCTCTACAAATCAAAAGATAAGAAAGTTCTTTACAGCCCTAGTTTTCATTATTTTCTGATTTATGAGCTAGTCTTTTTCTAATGGGATTACATGTGTGTTCATTAACATTGTCATTAGACTCATTACAATTTGGATCTTTTGACATCTCTCCTATTACTTTCAAATTTATGTTTTATTGCCTTTATTCAGAAGCAACATGGGTGGCAATAATGAATGGGACAACCGACTGACTGAGTCCTTGAAAAATTTTAATCTTAGCAGTCCTGAGATCAAACAGCAATTTGGTAAGTCAAAAGTTATCTTTGTTGATGTTAATCTGTGTTTGGTTAAAAAAACCGACTCTGAGCATGCTTTTTTTTTTCAAATGTTTCTTCACTAGTTGTAATACAAGCACCTCTTTAATTAATTTTTCTTCTGTATTTCAAATTTTTTCCTGGAAGTGTTTTGTAGAAATGATATGAAGGAATCTGCAGATGAAGCATAATCACGCAATGAAAACTCGTGTATTTTTTTCTCCTGGCAATTGTGTTGCAGAAATGATATGAAAGAATCTGCAGATGACGTATAATCATGCAACAGAAAAATATTTAATGCCTCATACAACTTATGATGTGACTGCTTATTTGAAATTCCTGTTATATGGTGTGGTAGGTTGTAATCAAACTTGACCCTGGGACTTTGGACTTATTGACAGAGTACATCACAAAAATAACAGTTGAGAAAGTGAAACTCAAATTTGCATCTGTCTAGTCTCTCTTTCTCTTGCCTTTTGCCTTTGTTTTTTTTCTTCTCACTTTCAGCTAAGCTGCCTGCCTGCAGTTCCCGCTGCATATCATCTTTCCTTTGCCCTCTATGCTTTTCCTTTTTATTCATTGGTTTCTTGTAACCTTATATTTTCTACTTCTGATGATGTAGCTGTCTAACTTTGAACATCTATTTTGTCTTATCTTTTCTCAATGCTTCCTTCCAATGCTCCAGCTAACTTTCTTCATAGCTTGACATCCATTTTGGCTGTTGGACAGGCATCACCTTTCCTGTCTCCTAGCGCACTGCTAAGGGACCTGTGTCTATGCCGTCACCCATCACAGTCATCATCTTCAGGCCTGTTGGTTGTCTGGTTTCTATTGCCCCTTTTGCGTCTTAACTTTTCTGTCATATTCTTAGTTTCTACCCTTCAGCTCAATCGACCCACTTAAATGGGTCTAGGAAGTTAATTCAATCCCTCCATGCTTAAGTTTGATTTTTTTTTTTCTTTCTACAAGTTAGATCAGGTAAAACATATGTTAACTGAGGTTGATGCAATTTGTCATGATTCATCACCAGCCCTTTTATGCTTCTGGATTGTTGCTATGAGAATACAATACAAGATTACCTGCTCTTTGTGGTGTGGGTTGAATTGGCACACTCAAGAATCAAGCAGTGAAGTTTGCTAAAAGTTTTATGAAGTTTTGAAAACCTTTGAGTACCATCTTTGTTAAGGTCAGAATTGCCCTTATGTTTCTTTAAGTTCACAGGCCACACATAGTGCCCACTTTATACCAAGTCGAATGAGGATCGAGTAGTAGCATAAGTCATGTGCCAAATATCCTCTTAATTCTTAAGGAATAGGTAACATGTTGCTCAACATGACCAGTGTGAGAGCATTAATGGAAGGAGAATTCATATCTGGAATAATGTCACCTGTTTATTGTTGTCTATTATTTCAATTATCCATCACAAATTTTAGAGTGACAATTTTGCTTTTCATTTTGTCGATGCTACTTTCGGTAACTATTTCTGAACATTATACGTTCTATGTTTAATGCAGAACAGGTAGGCCTCACTCCAGAAGAAGTTATATCTAAAATAATGGAAAATCCTGATGTTGCTATGGCATTTCAAAATCCTAAAGTGCAAGCTGCCATCTTAGATGTATGCTCAGATGCATTTCATTTTTTTAAAATGTCTATGTATACTCCATTTCTTAACATTTTTTTTTTTATTCAACAGTGCTCACAAAATCCACTTAGCATTGCAAAATATCAGAATGACAAGGAGGTGAGCTATAGATGCTGTTCATTTGGCAATATGTTGTCAGAATTTTCTATTGTAGTTAAACGTTTCTTCTGTTCAGTACCTATGGTTAACTTATTTTGTAGATGGAAGCATTACTTCTACTTAGTGAGTTAAGTGTACTGTAGACAGTTTGAAAGTTATTTATAATCATAGTTAGGAAATATTTGTTGGAGTACTATGATATGAAGTTTAAATGCCTATTGTATGTAACAGGATAACCTTGTATAACTGTTCAGAATTTGAATGGACACTGTTGACAAAATGTTTGAATAGAGAGTAGCTCTAGCCTCACTTTACGTGAATGGTAATGCAAATAAATCTTTTTGTAATCATGTAAATGTTAGTGACTTGTTAGGAATGAAGGCAGTTTTGTAGCTTAGGTTGTAACTAGTAATTTTGCAAGATTGAGGTATTGAAGCAGGCAAAATAGAAGGTGTGCAGCATGTTTTGGTTGGTGCTGCTTTGGGCTTGCTAGTTTGGTGCTGGCACAGTAGATATCCTGTTAGAGCACCTTATTTCATGATTTCTTAACTGGTTATTAATATAGTGATTGCAGAGTGCTGGAGTTCTTGTAAGATCTTGTATTGACCAATTTATTTTCTTGGGATACTTCTTGTTTGGTGTTCTTATGCAGATGACACCTTTAATTGCAGACATAAAGAGGGAAACAACTGAGGATATTCTTCTTATAGATGCATATATATTTGTTAAATGAATATTTTTAATGCCCCTATAGGGGAATGTGCTAAACACTGTTTCGTAATGTTTTGTTGTTACATCATAGATGATTTTCTATTTAGTTTATTGTGTGTTAAAATATAATTTGACTTGATGAGTGACGAAAGAAAAATTATTTATGAGCCTTGTCATAAGTTGTAACCCAAATCTTACTTCAAATGAATGCTCCTCAAACACCAAATTCCAAGTCTGAGAATTGCATGGGAGACATGTTTCCAGTAGTTAGATTCATATGGAACACTTTGAATGTCTCAAGCTGTCAAGGTTAATTATACAGACCCAGTTTTAGACATTTTATGGATTTGAAGTTGCCTTAGACAAAGCATGTTAATGGTTCTAGTGCATCCTTTTTTTACATCTTAAACCTTTGTTATGGTGATATAGTAAAATCTTAGGCTACTTGTGGAGCTCTGATGAGGAAAATGTTAATTTCACACATGCACACACACATATATATAGGTTATACATGTACTGAAGAATTTTTATCTTGTGGATATAATCGTATCCATTTCTATTTGCAGTAGTAGTATCAAACAACTGAAGGCAAATTTTTTATATTAGAAACAGACACTTAATCAAGAAATTGAAATCAACTGATATTCTCATATCATTGTAATATCCCGATTAGTCCCATATTGGAAGTCGGTTAAGACTAAAATTAACTTATAAAAATCTGATGGGTGTATTTCTATTAACTTCAGCTTCAACATTTTAAGTTAGTGATTTAGGTTTAATGAAGTTAATAGATTAGCTATCCTATCAAACTGAGTTGTGATAATCATAGTTGATGACTCACACCATTATGACTTCTAGCATCTATTTGCTTTATGCTAATAACATTTTTTGTTCCTCATACCTCACTTTGCATGTTTTTATTCGATGTACTATCATAACCTTGCAATGTACTTGTAATTCTCATGACCTTGCATTGCTACAGGTTATGGATGTGTTCACCAAGATATCGGAACTCTTTCCTGGTGTATCGGGTTACCCATGACCGACCTCGTGCACAGTGCTCCATGGTTGTGACAAGTCAATTTTTGTCTGCTCTTCAGCGAATCTAGAAGCTGTAAATTACGCAGCACAATTTCAAAATGCAGTTCATGCTTGAGCCAAATCTTTTGTAACTCTGCGGCAGCAGGTTATCATACATCATGTAAGTTGGTCTCGAGTTGAGAATTGAGGTAGGATTTCGGATCTTTTTCTATCTTCTGATGTATGGCTGACCACATTTTGTTCTTTACTTTCTTATATAAAAGAACCTTATATGGATGGTGTGCCCGTCTTCATTTGTAACACTGGTCTTATTCTTGAAGTTGAGGTAGAAGCTAAGAACAAGAGTTCCAGATGCTCTTTGGACATTGAGACCAGAAAATTTAGTCATTGGTTTGAACGTTCAGCAACTAATTCTCCCAAAGCTGCTCAACCGGTTGGTTTAATTGAGGATCACAATGATAGTTATGTTGCATAAAATTGTGTATCAAATAATCTATTGCTGCTCGTGAGATTCAAATTGGTTATATGACTGACTGGGTTCAGAATTTTTATCTACTGTTCCTTGGGAAGATTTGTTGAGACGTTCTTTCGAGAAAATTCATCTCTTTTTTTTTCTTCCATTTTTCTGATCGTGTTCAATGTCATCTTTTTCTTGGTTAACTAAAAATTGATCACAATTAAGGGTGATGAAAAGGCTTCAAGTGTCATCTTCCTTTGCATAATCCTCTGCGATCATGTTTATTAATATCATGTTGATCTCTACATGTTAGACTTGTCCTTAATAAGCTATGCTATATACTCTGTTGGATGTATTAGTTTCTTGGGCTGTCACCACTTATGCTATTCAGAATTAGACAGAGGATGAGTTGGTTGTGGCACTCACTACTCATCCCATTTTTCCAAACCCGAGCTGACCAATTACCAGTTCAATTTATTTTCCTGCTATTCTACTTCAATTTGTCTGACTGTTTCGTGGTTTTAAACAAAGCTTATGCTGTTTAATGCAAGGAATGTCGGATCCGTAGTCTCAGATATATGTTGGATTGATATATGTCGGTGATATCGATGTTTTATCCATGACTCAGATTATGCTTTCTGTGAATTGATCATATGTAGATCACTCTATATGTATGAAGGCATTATACCTTAAATCCATGCATCACATATTCATAAATCATGTGTGTAATTGGTTTGTTACATTTTTCGATTTCACTAAGATAGAAACGTTTAGATCAACGATCACCACACCCTCAATCTGCCACCGAATACATGACAACATGATAAAGAACAATTCGATTGCTGTTCAAGTTGGGTGGATGGCTCAGCTGCTGCTCGACTCTCCTCCGTTGTACATAAAACATCCACCGAACATAACTTGAGATGAAGAGATGAGTAGTTCCTCCTCCACCACCACCGTGCCGGTTACTGCAGCTTCTGGATTCTTGACGATGTAAAGCCTTCTCGCTGTGTTGATGAACACCCTGCGATCGCATGCATGCATTGCATGCGTTTAATATGATTAAACCGAGATAATTGACTCAAAGCATTTAAGTCCCAAGTTAATTCTTACGAGTGTCTTCGAATCCTATTTCACTCGCGACTGTGAGATCAAATTGAGATATCATAGAGAATCATGTGAAAGAAAGAAAGAAAGAAAGAATACTCACTCCCAGGCAGCATCAGTAATGAGCATTCGGTTGCCTTGGTGGTTCTCGTAAAGAATTACGAAGTCACCAGTATCGACCTCCTCGTTCTGCGCTTCCTCTGATTGGATATATGGCTGATAAGGATCTGAAAGCCAAATGCATGTTTTCGTTTAAGTACTTCCATTAGGTCACTCGAGTCCTTCCTTACATGACGATGGAAACAATGTGAAAGAAACCAAGTGTGGGTCGGTCATTTTTAAGTTATGTATTAGTGCTTATATTGTAAACTTCACCTCTTTTTATTTGTTAGCAGTACAAGATTAATTCTTATACATATATATATGTATATATAACGACATAAGACACAAACATTTATGGATAATACATATGAGGAGAAGAAGAAAGATAGCACATTATTTAGAATGACAAGTATACTGATCCATTGATTGAGTTCGATAAATTAATAAGTTAATCAATCCATGATGACTGAGATATAACAAAAGTTATTGATTCGTGTAAGAAGAAACTCTCATGGATGGATCAAAAGACACATTATGACCATTCATGATACGTTAATTTTGAATTATGTCGGTCTTGACGAGGACGTTAGCTCGTTAACCGAAGGAGAGACTATAATATCCTGATTTAGTACAAAAGTGAATAATGATTTGAATATATTTATAAAAGGTCAGACAGGTTTATTATCGTAATTCAAACTCAATAAGTAAAGGAGAGTGAATGAACCTATAAATGGTTAGATAAGTATGATCGATCAATAATTTAGGGTTGATAAATCATTAGATTAATTATCGTATCAAATTAAACCGTGACAAACAGCTAACAGCAGTCAAAAGTCAAAACTCACTGACTCGAGAGGAAGTTGCGAGACATCTCCTCGAGAGCACGACGGAGCGATTCATAGTTGTCATGAGCTTTCAAGTTGATCTTCCTCGCAATGGCGCATCCTTGCTTGTGCACTTTCACGAACATCGTCGGCGTGAAATGGCCATTCTCGTCCTCCATCTCGGGCTTTAGTTTGACGTCGTAGCAACGAAGGTGAAGGATGAACAACTCTGATCACAAACAGATTGATGGTTGATGGAAGAAACAAGTAGCAGCAAGTCAGCAACAACAACAAAGAGAAAGAGAGAGAGATGAAGTGCATGTCGTATCATTTACATGAGAGAGAATTGTTGTGGGTGCTGAAAGAGTGGCGAGAAACAGTGTAGCCTTTCGTGTTTTCAGAGAAAGAGCGCATAAACCAGACTGAGATGAAAAGATAGTTAGGAGAGTATCGCCAAGATAAATAGAATGCATGCATCAGACTAGTGGGAAAGCAATTGAGGGAACAACTCTGAGAGAGAGAGAGAGAGAGAGAGAGAGAGAGGGAATGTACACACTAAGGTGTGATGACAGTATAAGGAGTAGTTGCAAGCGAGTGTGTGTGTATATTGTTGGGAAAGATTAGATAAAGGAATCATGAATCTGAATTTTCTTTTCTTTTTTTTTCCTTCTTTATATGAATTAAACATCAAGATGTAATTTAACATCATATATATTATAGATAATATAAAGAAAGTGCATGAACCGAACTAAGATGAAAAGGTAATTGAGAGAGTATATTTCCAAGATAAATAGAGTGCATGTATCAGACTAGGGGGGAAAGTACTTGAGGGAGCAACTATGAGAGAGAAGGAGAGTTCATGTATCAGACCAAAGTGGGAAGACCACTGCTCCAAGAGAGAGAGAGAGAGAGAGAGAGTATTTTAAAATATAATTTAATACTAAACATATTATAAATAATTTAGTAGTGTATATCAATCAAATTAGTGATCGAATACTAAACAAATCATGAGACAATATTTATATTAAAAAAATCATGAAGAAAAATAGTCATGGGTTATCGGATGAATCTTTCATTATAAAATAATAATAGGATTATAAGGTTTTTACCATTGGACTAACCAAAGGATATATCAAATATCATAGCATGGCATTTAAACTAATTTTAATGATTAATCATCGAATCTTTCTTATCACTTTTTTTATTGTTCTGAAATTGCTCCATAAAAAAAATGATTAAAGTTTTTTAAATTAACTCTCATGGAATTCAGCACTTAAATCAGATTAAGGTATAATAGGAAAGCAATCAAAAGCAGTAACTCTGAAAGAGAAATATGGTGGGAAAACAATCTATGGAGCAACTAAGAGAGTGTGTGATTATGAATAAAAGGTGAGAGAGAGAGAGAGAGACTGTGTGTGTGCATGAATACATTATGTATTGGATCATAAGTGCAATAAGTTTGTCATCTCATTATGGCTGCTGCTCATGAGATTCAAATTGGTTCAGAATTCTTACCAACTGTTCCTTAAGTTTCTCCAGACATTATTTCTAGAAAATTCCTCTCTTGTGGTTTTCATCCCTGTCATCTTTTACTTTGGTCAACACCAAAAAAAAAAATGATCACAACAAAGGATGATGGAAAGGTTTCAAGGCATCACCATAAATCCATCCATGTATCCATCTATCACATATGTAATTGCCTTATTTAATCGTTTGTGACGCTTTTGACTCCATTAATATAAGAATATTTAGATCAACAGAGAACAATTTGATTGTTGTTGTCAATTTGAAGATGAAAAAGCAAATGCATGCTTGAAATGCTTCTAACGGACTGTTGACTTAAAATACTTAGGTAGGATACTTGATAGAAAATAAAATTTTTTCAACTATACGAGGAAATCTCTTTATTCTGTTGAGGAAAATCCTCTATTCTGTTGAGGAAAATCATTTCTCTTAATTTGTATAAATAGGAGAGGGAACATGTATTGAAACATTTTTATTTCTTCAATAAAGCTAAAGTTTCTTATCTTCAATAAAGCTTCTTCAATAATTGTTCTTATCCTCTATTATTTTCATCAATATTCACTCCCAGAAAGCATCAATAACAAGCTTTCGCTTGTCGAAGAAAGAGATCACATTTTGTAATTGATCTCATACAATAATGAATTTGATGAAGAGTGTGTAAAGGCAAAACCAAAAGAAATATAATGCTTGTTTTTACAACATTGTATTCCATATAGAGCGTCAGAAATGGATGACATGGAATGCCACATTGGTGACTTCATAAGTCTGTCAATGGAGGCAAATGAATTGTGAGATGCAATTTCTTTCTATACAAACAAAATCACAAAATCTGAGATAATGGTTGATGACAAGATATCAGTCTTAGCATAAGATCTATAATATGCTATATTAAATATAGAAACAATTTTTTATATCAGGATTGAAATCAAATAAAATTAGATCTGATTTTACGATGCATACCTTTTGATGCGTACCTTTTGATGTCATCTGAAAAAAGATCTCTATATGATCTGCAAGGGCACCGTCTTTAGATCCAAGAATCAATTTGTAAGAGAACTAGATCCTTCTCCTCTCTTTCTATCATTTCTCCCTCAACTGAATCCTTTATGAGATGCGTAACCTCTGTTATACAATCCCTAAAAGTCCATGTCTATTTATAGGCGAGTACAGAGGGTCTAGGATAAGTAATTAGGATAGTTCCTCTCATCAATGGCAGAATCCTATTTTAAGTAAACTTCTTTTCTATTGGCCAATATATGTCATCAGAATCCAATTAGTTGTATTATATATTTGTGGGCTACAAAATCTAACATTCTCCCAATTGGCCCATTAATTTGATAAGATATAAAAAGATATTCAAAATCAAAATAAATAAAATAAAATTTGTTTAAAAATAATTTTACCTAATTGGATTCTAAAAAATTTTGAAAAACATTTTATACATGACCATGAACTTTAAAACAAGCCAATAAATCCAATAAACACAATAATACTATATTAAGTCC